ATAAAACAAGAGGTACTTTTAAACATGGCCCAAGATTAGGAAATCAGCTAGTATTTACATCTGTTCTTAAACATCCCACGAGATGTACATTTGTCTAGATCGAAATGCATTACACCATTCATTTCTTTTTGGTTTGGAAATCAGTGCAACCCCAAAAGAGAAAGAAGCGAGGCTGTGGGGGCTAGCACTGTACCTTTTGATGGGGGGGTGGGGTGGCCATGACCAGTCCAGGCTGATCTCCTGGGTGGTTCATAAGGTAAATCTGTAAAGACAAATAAATTGACTAAAAGATCGATAATGTAATTTTATAATAGATACTTTGTTTTTTGGTTTTATGTTTATTAGAATAAATATCATGCAAAAAATCCAGTAATTCAAAAATACATTCAACGTGGATTCCACTAGATTTGGGCTTTATTTACAATAATAATTTTGTATATTTTATTGAGCTAATATTTTCACCCATTAACCTGAATATTCCCAGTGATAGATTCTTGCAGTCTGCGGACTCTTCTTAGGTAATTGTCTGCAATCATAGGTCAAGGCTGTTTACAAAATCTCTTACAATCTAATTTGGCTTCCTTCTAACTGGGACTGACCTAAATTCATCCCTTTATTATCCTCATGACCCATCCAAAACAGAGCCTGCAACTTTGGTGAATCAACCAATTTTTGCTCAAGTTCTGCCCCTAAATCCACCAAATGACGTTCACGTTCCTTCTTTTTCTTCTTCCTTGAAAACTATGACTACCTTCTTATCCTATTTGCCAGCTGTTTCTCTCCACAACCCTGCATTTTCCCTTTATAATCTCACCCATATATATTAAATCAGTCTTAACTGTCTAATTTTCTCCACAAATGTGTACTCTTTCTCCTCTGAATGAATTAGGAATATCTCTAAAATGAATTGCATGACATTAACTGGCAGACTGAAACAGTATGGCCTCCACATGTTAAAAATGACCATAAGAGCTTTAGTATATGCAAATGACTCCTTTGTATTTATAATCTATTATCACTTGTCCCATGAACCATCACACTTTGCATGTGCAAATTTAATAACTATACTTCTGCATCTTCAGGGCAAGTTTTATTAATGATTATGAAGATTCTAAATCATTGCAAGTTTCTTTCAAGAACAGTTTCCAGAAATAATATTATGCATGCTCTTACAAACTGTGCATACACAAAGCTATTTCTACATGCAGACTGATTACAAAACCATTTCACAACTATGCCTTCTTGGATTGATGGGTCTCACTCAGTTCAATGCCATGTGTCATTATGAGTCAAGTGAAAGCTGAAGCCAGATACTTCAGCAGGTGTTCTGGTGCCAGACACCTGGAGATGCTGTAAAAATCTCTCTTAAAATTAGTTTTAAGCCTCTCTTTAAACAGATCATTTACTTTGCTTAAAACTGGCAATTTTGGGTGGGTCAATCTTCAAAAAGCTTGACGATGTTGCAAAAGATGTGTCTCTTCCCATTTTCATATCCCACAGAGAACAGCAATGAAATGCAAGATGAAATTCAACACAGAACTGCCTTAATTTATTTGGTCTGTTTGGCTATGAGCATCTCAGCTAGTGTGGTCTGTGAAATGCTACCTTCCAGAGGTTTGTTTGCGTTAGATAATTTTTGTTTTTAAACTCTGCTGCTGCTTACCTCTCCCTCTCAGCTGGCATTTTTGCATTTTTGGACCCTAGGCCTTTCCCACCCAGCTCCTCAGAGTCTCATTTTTCTGGTGTTGGGGTTGCACGTGGGAACTAAATCTGCAGCTACTATCGATTTACAAATAAATTTCAACTTAAGTTTCTGGGAGCACTTGGCACACACATTCTTGTTCAGTTGCATTTTGTCTAAAAACAATAGTAGCCAGAGTTTCAATTTGAGCATTGTTTCAGAAAGAGAAATCCACTAGTAAGGCAATCTTAGCAGCAGTTAACCTAATTCAGAAGCACACATGCACATTAATAAGGGGCTTCTCTTCACCAAATGAAAGAGCAAGATAGCAAAAATGTGTTCTAGATCCTTGTTTCTTAAAGTGTGGTCCACAGACCAGCAATACTGACAACATCTGGGAGCTGGTTAGAAGTGCAGAATCTCACTCCAGATCTAAGGTTGATCAGATTCTGCACTTTACCAAGATCCCAGAATCTGCATTTTGCCAAGGTCACTTCAAGGTGAGCTGGGTGCACACTGAAATTTCAGAAAGCCCATTCTAGATGACCTCCATCACTCTTTCTAGGAATCTGTGTTCCTACAGAAAGTGATTTCAGAAATGCTGTCTGTGTCAATACAAATATATAAATGTGTAAAAAGAATTCTAGGTTGAATGCTTTTACCTGAACAGAAGAATACTAATGGAATTAATAGCCAGTGTCAGTAGACTTTCCACTACTACTTTAAACATGAACGTATTCCTCATGACATGTGACTGGAAAAAATTAAACACCAAACTATTCATAGAAAAATATTTTGAAACTCTTTATTCATAAAATCCTTCCTGGGTGTATAACCATGTCCCATCTTCCCTTGAAAATAAGTCAGGACCTACACAGCCCTAAGCCTGATTCCTAGCCAAGAATTTGAGATGTTTATGTGAGCAGTGATGAACATGTTCATAAACATACGGCCATGGAAGATAAGTGGGCTTTTGTTTTCCTTCATGAACGTCTGCTCCAGCGCTTCCTTATCAGCTACCGATCACATGCTGTGGGCACCAAGCCTCTCTCCTGTGGGATGTGAACTGGGAAGTGCTGAGCTAAAGCCCTGCAGAGATGGGAGACCAGCCACTGTGACCTGCAGCAATGACACCACCTCAAAGCAGAGGCAGTTTTGAGTAGTTCTACTCTTTGGCTGCTTGGAAAATTATTAGTTATATATACACTTGCTAGTCATCCCTTATTGATGAGTAGTTCATAGGGCTTCTAATAAGAATGTATTTTACATTTAAATTTTTTGTTGAAATTTTTGTTGAACTGATCAATTTCAACACACTCTCCATTTCTATTCAACTTTGACCATCAAGGTAATTAATTCATACCCTTGGCAGAAGGTCCTCTGTTAGGGAAGGCTGCTTTCTGGCATTGGTTCTGCTATTTTTTCTGCAACAGACTGTGTTTAAAAACTGAGCTTTATAAAAGCCATTTCTTAGGCAGCTTAGGGTTACCACAGAAGTGTGTTATATGCCTTGATCCAGACCAAAACACATGAAACCACAGAGAGCTTGGCTGGTGCTGGCCCCCTCCACGCCAACCCCTTTGTTTATTTACCAGGCTAGGACTGGTTCCTAGTTCTGAATGAGACTCCTCCTTCCACCTACTCCCTTCCCCAGACATCCGTGGCTCAAGATGACGCCCTCGCTGCTTTCCCTGCAGGGCTAAGTTAAACAAGTTCTGTTCTCCTTTCACCAAGCTCACTGAACAATAGCGTTTTGGCCTCTTGAGGACCACCCACCCACTTTATTTTTCAAAGGACCAGCACTCGGAGCGTGGGATCCATGACAAACTTACAATGGTCTCCGGCCAGGCTAGATGGGAAAGGATGAGTATCTGCCCGCTTTCAATGAATCTAATGGCAAAGACAGAAAAGCACTGCCCAGAACCAATCTATAAACTGCTATTTAATGGAAGGAATCTTTAGAGTCAACCTAACATGATTAAGTATCTCTCCCTCTTATTTTCCTCCAGAGCTTCTTACATATTTCTAGAATCCTCTATCAAAAACCTAGAGATGTGGGGGCATGCCGCAGCCCCTTCACGCCAGGGTTTGCAGATCTCTGTGGGTATATTATAGCCAAGGGAAAACAAAGCATGCATTTTTAGCCATTTACTATGACACAGGCTTTACGTAGCACCTCACAGAGGAGGAAGTGCATTAGTTGAGTTGTCTTGCTCTGACTGGTGATGTGAACGTGAATGGAGGAATAACTTAAGAATCAGAGAAACCTGCAGAGCACAGTGGAAAAGGGGATGTCAAGTCAGCACTCCAGTCTTCTTCATGACACCCTAGATGTCTCTCATGGTACATGGAAGGCCATGCTGATTGGGGAGTAACAATGGGGTTCCAGAACGTCCTCCATGTCACCCACCAGAACTTCACATAGACTGCTCCCAAGATGCCAGGTGGGTGGCACATCACAAGATCAAAATCCAGCTTGCAAACATCTACAAATCAGACCTGTCTCTAGTTATGCCACTTAAGATCTCAAAGGGGCCACAGTTCCAGAGGCATATGTTCATCAAAGGAGGAGGGTACTTACGGGGGAGCAAACTGACACAACCTGAGAAGTACACACAATGCCATAAAATAACTGATCATAACAAACAGGATATAAAACGATATGCCTACATGTTAACACTTTCTAAGAATAGAGAAGAAATGTATTTACAGGCTAACTCAAGACAGGATCACAAAAGAGGGTGCATTTTAAATCAGGAAAATTTGAAAGGATGGGGATGAGGCAGGGACAAAGGAATAGAATGACCTTTCTGTGGCGCTCTGTCAGGTCACTCAACAGTCTCGGTCAATTGTGAGCTACATTTGAAATGACAGCAGCTTGACAGGGTGAGCGGTCAGGATAAATGATGCCTGGGGAAGTTTAGCCACAAAAAGAAGAAAAGGTATTTAAGGGCAGGAGCCCAGGGATGGGTTTACTTGGGGCAGAAAGGAAAGGATCACTGGGACACAGGGCTCGGCAGGATGACATGCATGGGGAAGGCGGGCTCTGCTCTCCTGGATGTGGGCTTAGAGAAAAGGGGTGGCATGAGGATCATGACACACCACGTGTGCAGGGCAAAGGAGCTCTGTCTCTATCCCCAGGGCCCAAGGACCTTTCCCAAGAAGAGTCAACAACGACCTCTTCTGAAAGCAATCAGATGTCTGCTGACCACAGGGCACTGATTCCCAGGAATCAGCTTCGTAGCACCCACAGCCATCCCAGAGTTCTCTATTTGCACCATTACAGGCCTTCAAAGTTGGTCACTGGTCCGCCCAAGGCATATAAATAATTCTTTTTTCCAAGGTCAAATTCCTAAATTTGGCTTACAGCAAAGAGTCCTCTGGCTTGTTCAGTCTGACTTAAATTCTTCATGGCTCAGATACTGACATATGTATCTCCTTCACCATCATAGTAGTAGTCTTCAGAACAGGGATTACTGATACAAATTAAGTCTCAGGAACATACTTTACTGGTGATGGACATATGGAAGTGTGATCTATCCCAAATCATGTTCAAATAACGGGCCTGAGGAAGAGCACCATCAGAGCCACGCCAGGGACCTCTGAGTTTGACCCGTCTCTTAACTCGGCCTAAGCACAGGAGGGTGTCCCAGCCAGCACCCTCCCAGGCACTCCCCCTCCACACAGGTGGATGGGCCTTATCTTCCAAACCCAGCATGTCCTAAAATATGAAAAAGACATAGTCGTTCCAGGATCCATTGTTCTCTCTATGTAGCGACCAGCAGCCGGCTGGCTGGTCTGACCGCTGGGCTGTACCACCTGATCTGGCCAATGCTGTCATCTTTTGACACAACTCCAACACTAGCTCACAATCCCTGGCTTTCACAACTCGGTCAGAGGCATCTGTGAGATAGCTTCAAACAAACGAACAAATGCTGGCCAAATGTTTTAGAGACAGCTTCTCTTTCTCTAAATATGGCTGAAAACGTCATTGAGATCTCACGAACTCATTGTGATTTTCCTACACTTCCTCTGCTTTTCCAGGGACACATTTACTAGGGATAAACTCAGAAATCTCTAAAGCTAGAGTAAAGTTGGCATTTCTGTTTTCCATTTTCAATACACATGTGGGTTTCTTTAGGGCCAGTTTGGTTTCCTCTAGACCCTGGCTCTTGCCCATGATTAAACGGCCTGTGAGATCTTTAACATGACAGGGGTAGCTAAGCACTCTGATGAAGCCTGTCCGCCAGGCTTCCTTTTCTCTGAGTTTAGAGAAGAGAACATGTCCAGCCTCAAGTCACTGCAGCAGCACCAAGGCCATGTCGGGGTGAAACTCCAAGAAGCTTCTTCACATGTGCTGGCTGGCACACGGCCTCCAGCCTTTCTCAACTAGGAAAAACCAGCAGTGCCACACTTAGTACCTGGGACCAGTTCAGACTGAGACTTGTGTGGCCAGGACATAGGCCAGAGGTCAACCGGCGATCGCCTGAGTCTAAAATGTGAGTTCTAGATCCATGATGGGGCTGCAGTAGTCCCAAGGACAGGACAGACGTCTGAGCCAGGCTGCCCCTGGTCTGAGAGCCTTCCCCCTGCTTCCCCACCTGGAAGCACCCAGCCCTCCTCTGGCAGTGGCTCTTCCCCTGAAAGCTTCCTTCTCCATTCCATGGAGGGGTGAATCCTTGGAATTCCTACAGCCCCTATTGTTCAAGGTGGTGCCTCTCCTGCAAAGTCAGTGACTTAAGTTCAACATTCACACGCACATGCCTCTGGCTCTAGGTTGCCAGCCTTTAAGAGGAACTATTTATGCATGTGAGTCTGTCTCTGGCTCTAGCTGGTTCTACTGGAATGTCTAGACCTTGTGGAGAAACATTTTCACGTCCTGGGGGCTTGCTCCCACCGTACCCTCTGTGGCTGGCACACACAGACACTCCAGGGATTCCCACAGGATGAACAGGCCAGCCTTCTGAAGACAGGAAGCCTTCCAACATCTGGTGCATTTTTACATTTCCAGAATCTAACATTGTATTTGGCACTAATAGGCACTTGACAATATTTTTTTTCATGAATGACATATAAATCAATTGCCTAATGAAATTGTCAGGAAAGACATAAAGTGAGAGTCACATGTAAATATTATCTATTACGTGCTCTGCTCTGCACCTCTGTGACAGGCTGGGAGCAGGTCACAAGTGTTATGCGGTTGTTCTTGCTTTGCGCTGGTCACCCCAGGAAGGGAGGATTACACTTACGTACTTCAATTAACTCAAAAGCATAAAGATTCCTTACTGCCAGGCACCTGGGATGCCATCTTTGTCTGTCTGTCTTCCAGAGCAGCTAGCTAAGGGGCTGATGCACTTTGAATTCAGGGACCTGTGGTGTGATCTCTGAGTGAAACGGGCTTAGGCTGCAAATGCACGGAGGCTGAATAAAACTGTTAAGGACTCGCATCAGATCCAGTATCAGCATGCTCTGAATCATGTGACGTAGGCCACAGATCTCACAGGACCTCCTGGGGCGTCTCTCAATGAACAGATCACACAGGAGTGTTTTCGTACCTGGCCTAGTTGTAATTCTTTGCGTAGCTTCGGGATATACTGAAGTATTTGGGAAAATAAAAGCTGCACCCCCTGCAGACAAAAGGAAAGACAAAACATGTGAAGGTCTTTGGTTGCGGCTGTTGGTCTCAGCAACAGTGCCAAAGCTACTCTGCCCTTTGACCACAGAGGGAGGGGACCTCCTTGAACCTGCCATGCCAGTCTTCAGGAGGATGGGACAGGCACAGGGTCAGAAACAGATTCCGCTGATGGATGGAGACAGGAAGGGCTACAGTACCCCGTTTGCTTTCGGGTGTCATGTGTTTTAATTTTACAACTTCTTGCTGAAACCCCTCTGTGTCCCCACCCTCCAGCAATCTCATCTTATTAAAAAAAATTCTATGGTATATGTTTTCATTTTTAAATTGCATAAAAACCCATAAAACATTTTACAGAGCCCTTGGAAAAGAGGACCAAAGAATTATAAATATCTTGCCAAAGAATATATGGATCTTATTAAAAGTTAATCCCCATTTCTATTCAAATGCATGTCTTCCCTTTCTCTCTCGCAATCAACACTTGTGTTGTTAGCTGAAAAAAAATCCCCTTTTGCAGTTCAGTCTGTTAGGAATTGGTTGTCCTGTTCTTCAGTTGCTTCTACGTTTAACAGTAACTAAAATAACAAACAAAGTCAGAGCTTTCTTGAAACGTTCACTCACTGTATTTTTTTTAAAGACTGTCAAATTATCAGAGAATGTGTGCAGCTCAAAGGTGTTTCCTAAGGGAGGGAAATTACTTTGTCTAAGTTATTTGTTATTTCTGGCCACAAGGTCATTAATCGGCTGATGTGTGTCACGCATGTTGAAAAAGTATACTACCGACTCCAAGCTTTATTTCTTTTTTTTTTTACTTTAGATTAAAAGCACAATGTTCTAAATATTGAGGACCGAGATCAAATAGCCATTTCACTGCAATGCTCAAACCTGGACTCACTCACATTATACATTTTAAAATAAAATGGCAAATATTTGGAACACTGCTGGATTTCTCTGGGAGGGCTGACCTTCAGATGGGCACTTGCTTACACGGGGTTACCTAAGCTTTACCAGAACTGGATGGATGGCTTCTTCCCTAGCCTGGGTGGGGGCACAGGGTCCCTGCAGGCTGACACAGTGGGGTGAGCAGCCTGTGGGCATGCTTCTCTAGTTGTCTCTATCAGGAAGAAGGCAATGGATGCCACCCAGGAGTTCATTCATCTAAAGAAAGCCCAACCTCTACGCACGGCCTCTTTGTGACGGGAAGGGAAGATGTTAGACAGGATGAAGCATTATTAAACTCTACTAGTCTCAGGCAAAAAAATTGGAAAAATCAACAAAATGCAGACTCAGTGGTTAGAGACAGCAGAGTAGGCATTTGGTTAGTAACTAATTTCATATCCTCCAAAATTATAGCACAGCTTCCCTTTCAACAAAAGCCCCCAAAAGTCACCAACATTCCATCCTACTGCCTTTTGCAAATGTACCCAGTCTGTGTGAGAAAACCGAAGACAAGTCAAATGGCCTCAAACTTTACCAAAAAAAATAATATTCTTGCTTGTCTTAGTAAACATTCCTTGGAGAATTAAAAATGGAAAGGGTGGGAGGAGAGAATGCTAAGAGCCCCTTCCTGTCAAACATGCTAGTTTCTACAGTTGTCACAGTGTGTACTTGGGGACTGACAGCAGCAGACTGTAAATCCAGCAAAAGTGAGCAAAGGCTGTGGCTACAGGCTAATTCCGCATGTCTCCTGGTTAAAAAAAATCCTTGTCTTGTTAAAGGGAGCAGGGGAGCACTCAGAAACCAAAGGCTGCCCCTGAATTACCTCTGGCACAGAGCCCTGCTGCCGGTCTTCCGGCACCCTGACGTCCCACCGTTAGAGCATGCAACCTGAAGACGCGCCCCTAACCTGTCCTGCGGGGAAGGACAGGGCCGGCATTACCTGTGTTTCTAGCATGCATTAACCGTGGAGAGTTTTGTAAGGCTTTATCAACATCATCTGAAGTCAAATGTGGAAGAGGAGCTACAAAACAAAACAAAAGGCAACATCAAAATGAAAAAAAAGAGAGAGAATCACCTTCCTTAAAAAAAAAAAAAAGAAAGGAAGAAGAAAAACATGTCCCCCATCCTAATATCATGGGCTGCTGGGAAATCTCTCCATGGCCGTGCTACTTGTTAGAGTGTTAAAACCTAGGAGGGGACCCAGATTTAATTCAAGAACCAGTGACTGGGATGCCAGGCAAAGCATTGACACCAGAGTGACACCAACCCCCTGCTGCACTACTTCCATCTCCTTCCAACATGCTTGTGCCTGAATTAAAGCATGCAGCGGACGGTGGGGTCATGCCTCTCATTGCCAACACGCGTTCCCATTCTGCCCGGCCAAGCCACACCTCCTGGAACCGAGTGAGAGCTCCCCTCATTCTGTGTTCAGGTGCGATCTGAACGGGGCTGGGTTTGGTTTCAGGGAAGGTAAGCCCACAGTTCCCATCAGGTAGGGCCTCTCCTAATGCTTCCATCTCACTGGGGCACCGTGAGGCTCCCCCTGTGTGACCCGACAAAGCTCTGATTCCCTTTACCGTGTGATCTTTTTGGCTGAGGGGGCACTGGGGGAAGCAGCTGAAGGCTGAGGTGTCTTTTGGCTTCTCCTACAAACTGACTATTTCTCAAAATGCATTCACCTAGTCAGTGCCTCCTAACAGTTCACTCTCTCAGACCCTGAATGGGAGCTGGCTTAGGGCAGAAAGACACTGTGGATGAACCGGACCAGACCCTCTGAGGGGTCGGCGTGGCCAGGGGCGTCTTACTCTCTCTGAGGTAGTGCAGGTGGGAGAGCAGGATGTCGGCATTGTAGCTCGGTGTGAGCCTCTGGAAGTCATCTTTGGTCATCTTGCACAGTTCCTTCCCGTCGATATTCTGGAAGAGCAAGATGTCCACGTCGGGAAGGCCATATTCTTTCACTGCCCACTCCAGCCACTGCCGGACGTGGTCTGTACTCCACAGCGTAGGGTCTAAAAGGCGATGGAAACGTGACTGGTCAGCTCCTGAAGACTCATTCAGGACACAGTCGTCCCCCAGGCAGGTCCCCACCCCACCCCTATGCCCCAGCTCTCCAGGGCAGCCCCCACTCCTTGCGCAGAAGTGCAGCTCAAGTCAGATCAGTACGTGGTCAAAAGAGAATGTCTTGGGGGAAAGAGTAACACCAAAAGACTCACAGTGACCCACAGATCATTGTCTTTAAAGTGAATTGCTCTAAATGTTTAGGATTATACACACCACCTGCCCCTGTGTTGCTCAGAATATCTAAAGTTTCCTGTAGGGACATTATTCATATTTTTCACTTATTATCAATTTTATTCATTTAAAAGTGGAAAAAGAAGGAAACCTTCTTTCCTTGGAAAACTACTGATATCTTTGTATGGAAATAAGAGTTAGCAACACGTATCAGGGAGATGCTCATCACAGACTACAAAAAAAAGAAGGGAAGAAAACAGCACTTGTGCAAAATTCTGAACAATGCAGATCACAGAACTGGAAATAAAGACTAAGTGAACCAAAACCCAGGCACTTCCCCTGAGCTTGTGTTTCTGACAGAGCACCGACAGTTACACGCTTCTCTTGCACAGAACTTGGTTTGGCACCTGACTCGCACCTGCAGCGGCTAGGGCTGCCTGCGTGACTGTCACATTCCACAGCTGTGGAGCACAAACACCCGGCAGGGTGCAGACGCCGGCGTCACGCTCCACTGCCACCATGCGAGGGGACCCAGGCGCGACCAGGAGGGTGGGGCCCCAGGGACGGGAGCAGGCCACAGCCAGCAGAACACAAGCCAGGACCACCCCATGCAGGCAGCCTGGGGGAGGGGAGTCAGGGTGGTCAGATGGGGCTCCTCCCTCGGGTCCCCTGGCACTGACAGACTCAGGGGCAGCGCACAGGAGCCCGGACTTCTAATTCCAGGAAATCTCAACTGGCTGCCACCTCGGAGGCTGCGTCTGCTTTCTGTGGCTGTTTTACGTGGATGAGGAGAGCCCTGACCCGGGTTCTCTGGACAGGCCCTTGGAGGTCAGGCGAGCCACATGCTCTGATCACATAGCAGGTGAAAAAGTCAGGCACAGGAATGCATCACACTTTTGAATCACTTTTTATCTAATTGTTTTAGAACCTTGTTTGGTCTTACCAATGTTTCTGGCTACTGAAGAATGGGGCATGTAGCATGCTGATGGGGTACAACTGTAGTTCACAGAGTAAAGAGCAGTATTTGTAAGAAACAGCAGATGGCCCTACCTCCAGGGTTCTCTGCCCTCCCTCCTCCCCTTCCTTCTTTCCTTTCTTTTCCCTTCTGTTCCTCCCTCCCTCCCTCTGTTCCTCCTTTCATTCACTCCTTTCTGTTTCATGTCATTTTTAATTTGGAAGAAATTCTTTCAGATCCAATAGAAACCACTGCCATCACGTTCCCCCCAGGACACTCCAGGAGCAGCCACTTTCTGAAGCTGACCAATGCGTCATCCTGCCACATACTTGAATACTCTTACCATACCGCCTACATATACTGTTTGCATTTTTTAGGTGAACACAGAGGTCCCTGACGCACTCAGAACTGGATGTTCAACCTCTGTCCAAATTAATCCATGCTGGTATATTCAACCATTTAAACAGCCCTTGGGCACCCCCATATGAATATGCTCAGTATGCTTATCGGTGAGCACCCCTGCGTCTCTCTCCCGGTGCCGGTTTGAGGGAATGTGTGCTGGTCCACAGCCGGGGCCCCACGCTGGAATCACACCAAGATGGAGATCCACTGAAGCCTGGTCTCACCCCCGGAGATTCTGACTTCTGGTGGAAGGGAGCCAGGGCATCAGGACCGGTAAAAGCCCCTCAGGTATTTCTAATGTGCAGCTGCAGTTCGGACCATCACCCCCAGGGCCTCACTACTCGGAGGGTGGTCCTGGAACACAGCACCATTGTCTGGGAGCTCATTAGAAATGCAGACTCTCAGGCACCACCCCTGACTGCTGAATCAGAGTCCTGTTTTCACAGGATTCTCAGACGGTCTGTGCGCGCACGCTGAACTCAGGGTGTGCTGGCAGAGAGTGAGGCCCTGCGTGTACAATGGCTGGGTCGCAGGGCATGTGCATCTCCAACTCCACCAGTTAGGACTGGATTTCTACCAGTACTGTTAACACTCACTCTCCACCAGCCTTCAGGGCATACAATCTGAAAACTAAGGGGAACTCTGCTTCTGATGCAAAGAGCAGAACATCTACAAAACCTCAGGTGGCAGCAATGACAGCAAGGTGTGCATATTCCCCTATAATTTGATCAGGTGGAATTGGACAGTTTATGTGGAAGGTTAACTTTGTCTGACTCTCATGGAAGTTCAGGTGGCCCTCTGTCACTGGGTTAGGATTTTGCATTCAGAGACAAAATGTTCAAAACCAAGGCTGTTTTCAAAGGTCTTTTTTCTTCTTTTTCTCATGACATGGCATGATTCTTCAATATACAGACAGGGCAATATTTAGTGATCCGTAATTCAAGCCTTCTGTCTCCTCAGTTCTGCCCAGAGGACAAAGCTTCTCAGACAGAGGTCCCCCTCCTCCCTTCTCCAGTCATTTCCTATAACTCCCACCACGAGGTATTAGCCAAGCCCTTCTTTTTGGTTTGGTTTGCCCCTAACAACGTAGAAGGATTACATTTGGGTGTAACTACTTCCTAGAAATCAGTTCATTCTGGGAATGCATTTTCTGCTCTAAATGATGGAACCAGATATTCTAAAAATAATCCATAAACATTTTCCTGAAAGTCACTGGGGTCATGTTAAAATGGCGACATGACATCTTAGGGAGACAGCCAAAAAGAGAAGTCTAATCATTCCATCACCCTTTTTGTGTGCCCATTCACTGGTTTTCCCTTGCTAAGCCAGGGCAGTCACAGCTCATTTGATTTTCCTTGAAAGGAATCATTCCCAACACCCCAGAGAGCAATTCCTCCACCTGGATTGTTCTTATCTCTTCGGGTTTGTGACACCACCATTCTCTTGTTCTGCTGGCACAAGTGTATATCACTACGACCCTTTCCAATGAACAACTGGGCAATACATCTCAATGTCCTTTAAAAAATATGAGTGTAGTCTCTGCACCAAATATTCCAGTTCTAGAAATTCACCCTAAGGAAATTATTAGAGGATGTACGCAATGCTTTCTTTTCAAGGATGTTCTTTGTAGTGTTTACAATAGCAAAACATTGGGAACACCCTAAATGTCCAACAAAAAGAGAGCTACTTAAGTTGTAGTATATTTTGGAATATTCTGTGATACTTAGAAACTAAAATGACCCTGTTGAATATATTTATTGATAAGAGAAAATGTCCAAGCAGATTAAAATTTGAAAACATTATTGCACTATATTTTCCAAAGAAATGTAAATCTATCCAGGGTACGAATTTGGGAGGGTTATGCAGCAAACTGTCAACTTGTCTCTGGGGGAAAGGTAATGGGGATTTTTACATTTTTTTTCTTTTTGCACTCAACTGCATTTTCTCTTTATCTGCAATAAATTTATAATGCCTAACTTAAAAAGATACTTATCAAAAAACTTGTTCTCTGTGTTTCAGAATCAAAACAAGGTCTTACAAAGGACTTTGTCAAAGCATTTTCATAAAACTTCTTTCAAGGGTGTAAAATTTTAATCTCATTTCCTCATACAGCTTGTTAGTGGGGTTTGCTTCATTTGAGAAGAATATTATTACATGACGTTGGGGGATTCCTATATTCTTTTGGGATCTGATCTCCACACCTCTGCCCTCAAAGTTTATAAGTAAAGGATGTTAAAAACAAAATATGACCATTTGATAGAGTAAATGAGGTTGTTTCTTCCCCCCGGTCCGGGGGCACAACTATTCCGGATCTACCCCAGAGGTGGTGTAGTAGAGAACAGTTTGCAAAGCACAGGTCCAAACTCCTGAGCAGGAAGCACAAGGCCCTTAACTCCCTGAGCCCCACTGTACCCCCAGTCTCATTCCCACTCTTCCCCCTACAGCCACACACAACCGCTTGCCATCTCCTAAACTAACACCTCAGGCCTGGGCCCACACACCACCCAATGCTTGGAGGACCTGCCCGGTTCTTGTGCCCTCACCGGCACTCACCGCCCCACCCGGGCATCTGTCCCCAATGCACACACTTACAGTGAGTCTCTGCGCAGGGAAGTGATCATAAGACCGGAGGCCCGGTCCCCGCCCCAGCGAGAGCCCCCACGGAGCTCCGCCCCAGCTACCTGGGCCAGGCAGGGACGCCGCAGCTGTAGATGGTGGTGTTTAAGGTTCAAGGCAGTGTGTTGGCTCCCAGATCGTCCTGGAACCCCACAGAGAGCCCAGTGGAGTCTCCTTGATCTCCTCGTGGCCCGTGATATGTCACCAAAGCTTCCTTCTTCTGTCCTCTCTTGAATCACAGAGGGGCTCACAGGAGTCGATAGGCCTTACCTCCTTCCCTGAGGCCCGATTGTGCATGTGAAGGGGAAAAGGGAGGGGCCACAGGCCGTGCCACAGCCACAGCGCCCCTGTGGCCTGTGTCTAGGTGTGGCTACCTTCTGCCTCCAGGTAGTGGTGTGGCTCAGAACCTGTCACCCAACCTCAGGGCTGAGCCTGGCTTCCCTCCTCTGTAAAACACCGTGGAGCATCCAGGACCCAGGGAACGGCTGCTATAGGGCATGGGGGAAGGACTCCTTTTAACTCCAGGAAGAGTCCCTGAGCATTTACTAACCACACGAGCACTACAGGGATTCAGAGGCGGCGGTTGTCACAAAGGGAGATGCGGAGAATCTCCTGGGGGTGGGGGTGCAGCGGGTGGGCAGCCATCAACACAACCCATGGGCAGAATTAACTCTGTTGTCTAAGCAGGACGTGGAGGTACAAAGTCCCAGTGGATCCCAATCAGGAGAGGGGAAGGGTTTCAGGGCTTGGTGTGAGCCTGCAGGAAGAAAGGGGATTTTGACAGAAATGGGGTGACAGAAGCAG